GGGGGGGGGGGGGGGGGGGGGGGGGGGGGGGGGGGGAATGTACAGAAGGTTTGGTTTGCTTGCTGAGTTAGCTTACAGTTGCGGGCATTTGTGGGATGTGTGGATTCGTATTCATTGCGATGGCCGGTGATTTGTCTGCCTGCCTGCCAGCATGAATGAATGCACGGATTATGTGCATAGCCAATGGATTGATTGACGGAATGATGATTGACCGATGCACGACACCACATGGACGAACCAACACATCACGTGAACACACTGAAAGAGTAGTGAGGTCAGGTCAACACACGTGAGAGAAAAGATAGCCCTTGCCCAGCCAGCCCACACAAAGACATACATAGGAAGAGCAACCACAACCACACAGGAGAAGACGATTGCATCCACCAATCGAATCGACCCACGCACGTGCACACGGTCATCTATCCGATTGTGAGGGCCGGCAGTGGGATCACCGCCTCTGGCGGCTGATGCCGCATCAACCTGCCACCCAACACAACATAGCACAAGACACAAGACACATTCGTCCATGCCGAGGGTGCGGTGCTTTGCTCACCACTCTTTTCGTGTCTGCACAGGTGGGGGGATGACGAGTGGCCGCAGAGACGACAGCACAGGCCTGCACAAAAACCGATCAACGCCCATTAATATATGGACGCGCTCGTCCATATGACGAGTGTTCCACTTACCCATCCGGCAGTCTTGGCGGGTGGCCGCTCTTGTAGTACGACCTGCCCACACACGCACGCACACACACACACGCACACAGCCATGATATCAGGATCGTCCGCACAACCAACCTCCACCGACAACCCCCCCACCTGTCCGTCCAGCTGCCCCTGTTTTGACCAGCACCACCAGCACCCCCGCCATCCTCGTCCAGTTCCATCCGCCCGCCCCTCTCCCGCACAGAGGCTGAGAAGCGGGGGTCCCTCTCCCGCCACCGGGGCCCCTTGACCTGCTGCAAACTCTCATCCAGCCGCTTGGTGGCCTGCTGGACGGAGATTGGCGAGGTGTCGATGTGGATCCACTCGGTCTTGGGGGGGCGGGGGGAGGGCTTGGCTGCTCCTGCTGCTCCTGTGCCTGTGGTGGTTCTGGGGCTTCTGGGGCTTCTGGGGCTGGTGGTGGTGTCCATCTGTGTCTCTGTCTGTGTGGTGGGCTTCCTGCGGACGACGAAGAACCGGGGCGTGGTGCCTTGGAGGGAGGGGGCTGACACAGGTAGAGACGGAGCCAGGGAACGGCCGCCCGGTTCAATCAACGTGTGTGCGGTTGTGTGTCTACTTGAAGGTGGGTAGTCCTTCCACGCGAAGTCCATGCCGAGGAGGTCCTTGCGGTATCTGCAGCACAACATGCCAACAAAGGAAAGGAGACAGAGAACAAGACAGCGTGAGGTGGGATGAGACGAGACACCAGCAGGTGTGTCCGCCGATCAATAAATGATCTCACTCTAGCTTGCTGATGAACTCGTAAGGTTCAAATTCAACCTCTTCCTCAGGCTCACCCACACGGGTGCTGGGCTTCTGAACACACACACACACACACATTGGCACACAGAAAGTCGCTAAAACAGAATGTCGTTGACCTGTATGGCCTTGATCAGCTCGGCGCGCTCGGCTTCGTACAGCTTCAGAGCATCCGTCTGCGCCAAGCCGTGCAGAGTGTGTGGATACTTATTGTGTTATGTACATCTGTCCACACCCACCTGTCTCTGTATGATGGCCTTGAGGAACTTGATCTGCCCCGATGTGTCCTTCTTGTACTCATCAAAACTGACAGACAGACAGACAGACAGACAATGGCATGACGACCGATTCCATCAGGACACGCCCCCTCTTTTGTCCTCCAGCCAGCGTTCTGTGCTTACTTGGCGACGTAGCTGTCGAGCTTTTGTGTGAGTTCGAGCTCCCTTCTCTGCAGCTCCTCTTCAAGCTGCAAGATCCGTTTCTCGTACATCTCCTCCTGGCTATGACGCTCCCTGCACAAACACCCACACACACATATACAGAGGCTGTCTCCTGTGCCAGGTGTGGACATGCTCATGCTCACTCTTCGGTCTCCTCCAGTTGGCTCTGCAGCTTGCGTATCTCTTCCCGCAGGTTGAGCACCATCTCGTCCCTCGCATGGACGTCCTGCTGCAGCCGGCTGTTGGCCAGCTCCAGCCCACGTATCCTCTTCCTGTACTGAGACGTCTCCTTGGCCTGCGTCTCCTGCACACCAACAAGCAAAGCAGCCACACAGACAGACGGGGAATGGGAACACCCAGCGTATGTATGGGACGGTTTGTGGTTTTACGTACCTACCTACCCTCCGTGGTGTGTCCCTGTCCCCTTGCTGGTGTCTCGCTATGGTCAGGAGCATCTCCTGTGACAGCAGCAGAGTCCGCAGCCGGTCGTTCTGCGCCTTGAGCCGGGCGTTCTCGATGGCCGTGTCGGACGTCTCCTTGCTGATGGATTTCTGCCGCTGCTCCCAGGCGTCCTCCAGAGACTTCTCCATCGATGCACGCAACATCTTAAGGAGAAGGAGAAAAGACAATGTGAATGCTGCAAATGCCTTTTGATGTCCCCCTCTCCCTCCCTCCCTCCCTCCCTCCCTTTCTCACCTCTCTGTCTCTTTTGGCCATGACGGCCCACTGTCTGAACTCCCTGACCATTGCGTCTCTCGCCCGTCTCAGCTGCGTCTGGTACTCCTCTCTCAGATAGTTGATCGCCTCTCGCATGGCCCTTGACTGGCCCATGCCCCCCTGCTGCTCGACGGTGCTCTTGATACGCTCCTCTATCTCTTCATAGGGAAACTCCGGCGTCTCTATCTTGCCAATCACGTCTCTGAAGGGTGTCGGTGGGGCCGAGTGTGCCGGGGCGCTCTCTGCCAGGGACTCCCTGTCCCTGTCCGACCGCATCGATTTCGCCGACAGCACCCTTTCCGCCTTTCGGATGCCGGCGTGCGCCTCCTCAACGATGCTCTCGGTCGCCTTTGTGAAGGTCTCGAGATGGGCCTCATACTCAGAGTCGTAGGGCTGTTCGGACCGCGCTGTCACCGGCCGCAGGCGCCTGCCTGCGTGCTGCCTCAGTGAGGCGATGCTTGCTGGGGTGGGAGTGGGCGGCTGGGACTGCGAGAAGGCCATCCTGTCGAGCACAGTGTGGATGGGCGTGCTCGTGTTGGGGCGCTGGGGGGGATGGTGGACAAACAGCATCTTTGCAATACGTTTTGCAATGGGAAGCGCCGTGTTTCCCCGGGCAACCTCAAGGAAGCCTTGCGTCTGGTTGGCTAGTAAGCTCGCAAAACCCTGCATACCGAACCCGACAGAGGCGCCGCGCCACGTTGATGCGCCTGGTTGCTCTCCATGGCTTCTTATTCATTGCTCCTTCCTTAGCTCTTGGTTTTGCCCTCGCCCCTCCGCGCCTTCGGCTCATCCGTCCTTTGCCGGAGCGCTCGTCCAGCAGCATGACGGAGATCATCGACATAGAAGACTTGGACACCATGCAGCAGCAGCAGCACCAGCGACACCAGCAGCATCAAGACGTTGGCGATGAAGATGGAGATCAGTCGACGAGAGGTGGCTACCACCACCTGGGTAGGGCGGACAGGGAGGGCATTCGGAAAGGCTTGCTGGACTGGTTCAGGGCGAACCGAAGGCACCTGCCGTGGAGGTAGGTATATGCTCACATAAAAGACAGACAGAGACAATAGATGAAAGCGCCGTGCGCTGCTGCTGCATCCTCTCGCTGTCGTTAACTGCATTCAGGGGTGACCCGCCTCCCTATGGCCATCGCACCGTCACCCGCCAGAAGTCCGACAAGAGCCAGCCCACCATCCAACAGTTCTTCAAGCAGAGGCAGGCACCACCCGCCCCTGACCCTGCCCCTCCCCCGAACTCCTCTCCCTCTCCCTCTGCGCCAACCAACGTCTCTGCGAGCGTGTCGGCGTACGGCGTATGGGTGTCTGAGGTGATGCTGCAGCAGACGCAGGTGGCCACGGTGATTGAGTACTGGCTCAAGTGGATGGGGCGCTGGCCGACCGCCGAGGCGCTGAGTGGTGCCACGCTGGAGGAAGTGAATGAGGTGTGGGCGGGACTGGGGTACTACAGCAGGGCCAAGAACCTGCTCGAGGGGGCCAAGAAGGTCATGAGGGTGAGCGAGATCCATAACACAGGGAAGGGTACGTGTGTGCATGTCTGTGTCCACTTGGTGGTGGTGTGCTGTGCTGTTGTGTCCGCGGTGTACAGGATTATGGTGGTGTGATCCCGAGTGACGAGAAGTCCCTCCGCTCCATTCCCGGCATCGGCCCATACACCGCAGGCGCCATTTTATCCATCGCGTAAGCCTACGAGCCAACAGACAGACACCAACCACATGCAGTACACGCCACATACGTTTCAACCGTTTTGTGCAGCTACTCGGTGCCCACTCCGGCGGTTGACGGCAATGTGGTGCGCGTGGCGAGCCGACTGGCTGCCTACGCCGCCCCTGCGAGCGCGAGGAACCTGCTGGCGGCGAGCACCAATGTGGCGCGGGAGCTGGTCAAAAGCCAAGAGGGGGACGAAGTGCAATCTCCAGGGGATCTCAATCAGGTGCGCTTCTGGGTGATTGCAGGAGGTATAGATACGGTTGGTTGTGATGTGTGTGTGTCTGTCCTGTGTGTGCAGGCTCTGATGGAGCTTGGGGCGACCGTCTGCACGCCCAAGAACCCTGCATGCTCCGTCTGTCCGAGTAGGAAGTCAGAAAACCTTCATTCACCAAACACGGCTCTCACATGCATGTGTCTGTGTGTCTGTGTTGTGTCAGTATCGGCGCACTGTCGAGTACAGCGGGAGGTGAGGGACCGCACAGTGCGCCGGAAGGGACACAACCCCAGCGAATGTGACGTGTGCGACCCAGCCGTAAGCACGACCTCAGCCAGAGAGCTATGGAGAGCTCCGTCCCCGTATGGTCGATCTATCTTTTTCGTCCTGTCTGTCTGTCTGTCTGTCTGGATCGCAGCGTGTGGACGGCCCTGTCTCAGCTGGCGAGTACCCATTGCCGGTGAGTGAGAAGCACAAGAAACACAAACACGCGTGTGCGCATCCCATCCATGACCCATGTGCACACTATGTGCTCATCCCTCCCTCTTTCAGAAGAGCACGGCTCCCCGCAAGGAGGAGACCTACGCCGTGGCGATCGTCGAGCGGCCGTCAGACGGGCACATCCTGGTGCGGCAGCGGGCCAGCAAGGGGCTGCTGGCCAACCAGTGGGAGCCGCCCAGCGTGCTGATAGAGAACAGCAGCAGCGGCAAGGGGAAGAAGGGTGACAAAAAGCGGAAGAAGGGCAGTGGGGATGCCGCTGTGAGCGACCAGGAGTGTGTACAGGTCAGTGAGGTGGTGTGTGGTTGGGGTGGTCATGGCAGGCAGCGTGATGATTCGCTTTGTCTTGTAAGAACCTCTCTGAGTGTCCAGTGAGGATACACACAAACACTCATCCCTTATCGCTCTGACTCTCTGCCATACCCACGACACACACATGGCCTGCCCGTCTGACTGGAGTTCCATGTGTGTGGGAGGTGTGTGTCGGCGTGTGTCGCATATCCCTCTCTCTCCCTCTCTCTCTCCCTGTGTCTGTGTGTGCGTGTTGTGCCGCAGAAGCTCCGGGCGGCCTTAGAGGAGATGGGCGTTGCGTGTGACGACTCGTCTGCTGCTCCCAAGGTACCGAGATGAGAGCCGGGCAGATAAGCCAAACCTCTGTGTCTCTCCCGATCCATGGCTGTGTGCCACGTGTTGTCGAGGCATTCAGGTGGGTGAGGTGACTCATGTGTTCAGCCACGTCACGCATCACCTGCACGTCTACCGCATCGACACCATGGCCACAGGACACAGCGGCGGCGGCACTTCCAGCACGGGTACCAATGGATGCTCACACAGAGAGGGAGGGCCATCCATCCGATGGATGTGTTGTATGTATCTTAACAGATGCGACCATCTCGTTGCTGGCTGACGCATCGCCTGTGCCGTCCAAGTGGACTGACCCGACAGACCTGCAGGTGCGGTGTCACAAAATGACTAGACAGACCGGCATTGTGTTTGTGTCTGTCCGCTCATTGTCAGGGCAAGTGCGCCACGTATGTCAAGAAGATCGTGGCGTGTTACCTAGAGGGCAAGAGCGGCAACAGGGGCACCACCCGGGGGAAGGCCGCCGCCGCCAAAAAGCAAAAGAAGCAGGAGAAACAGGAGATGGCAGCTGCTGGTGCTGGTGCTGCTGTCGGGTAGCTAGCTACAAGTGCATGTGTGTATGTGTTGACGGTTTCTCACGGTTGGTGTGGTGTGGTGTGTATAGATCAGCCTGCAGCGGCATGGGAGGGTGCATCGGATGGATGTGCACCAAGGGCAGGGCAGTGGACGGCACACAGTGTCTTGAACGTGTTTCTTTCGCTCGGACGTCTCTTTCTGCTCTGCAGGGATGAACTTGATGGCCTGTATGTCGGCATCAGCTTTCTGTCGATGTGCTGCCCACCAAGGTCACCGCGCAAAGAAGAGAGAGAAGTCTGTCCGACACTGCATGGAACGATGGATGTCAACCTTACATGGAGATGAGTGCATCAATCCGGTCGAGAGCTGAATGACTCACTGACCTTCCTAAGCCTTAGCCACACTAATCCCTGCCCCTTTTCGAGGCGACGCTCCTTTGGCGCGATCTGAAGCTGCGAGCTTTAAAGGCGAGGAGTGAAGCGAACAGACAGCTGTTGGGAGCGCCCCCTGTTGAGTGCCGCATCTGTCAAAGACCAACAAACGGCGTGTTGGGCTCATGCTGGCCTTCCGTCGACTTTCTGGCGCCCTCGTGTGCACAAAGTGGCCCGTGTCATCGAGCATGCTGCGCCTCAGCACCGCCCTGCTGACGAGACGGACACACACACCTCACTCAGGAGCTCTCCAGAGGGCGGCGTCAGAGGTGGCGAGTGGGCAGCGGGTGTTTTGCCGGCATTTCAGTGAGGCCGCCGAGTCATCTGTGCTGATGAAGGTGAGCCAGCACGAGCCTATGGACTGGGCTGTCGGGTGGGGCAAGGAGAGATGGATGTGATTGGTGTCGTTTGGTTGTGTCTGTGTCTGTGTTCTCTGTCTGTGTGTGTGTGTTGTTTGTCAGGTGCCGAATATGGGTGACTCCATCACCGAGGGCACGGTGGCCGAGTGGAAGAAGGACGTGGGCACTCTGGTCAAGGAGGATGAAGTTATCTGCGTCATCGACACCGACAAGGTAATTACGGAAGGGCAGACTCATGCGGTGGTGTCGTGTGCATTGCGTGCCTTCACTATTCATATGTGTGTGTGTGTGCAGGTGTCTGTTGACATTCACGCCGAGGCCTCGGGCAAGATCACCGGCCACGCGGCCGAAGTCGGTGAGTTAGTTGGACCACACACACACACACACAGAGAGAGAGAGAGAGAGCGCCACACACATGGCCGCACGCTCTCTAATATCCGTTTTGCCAGCACACATATCATCTCTTTCGTGGCCTTGTTTGTGGTGCATGCAGGCGGCACCGTGTACATCGGCGGTGATCTGTGCACTATCGACACATCCTTCGCCGACCAACTCGCCGACCAACCAGCAGACAAGGCACAACCACCCGCCTCATCCTCTACATCCGCACAACAAGCACCACCGCGACACAACACCAACACCAGCAGCACCCCCGAGCAAACGACACATAATGCAGCACGGCGCTATACGCCGCTGATTCGGTTCCCTGACCGCAAGGCCGGTGGGATGAGGGGAGAGGGGAGGCCCACACCGGCCCCCTCACCGAGGGAGGCGGCCAGCGGGGCATCGTCAGCAGCGGCATCGACGAGGGGCAGCAAGCCGGGGATCGATGTGGAAAGGTGAGCAAGGAAGGAACACACAGAAGGTAGAGGACACAACGGAAACCGGCCGTTCTGTGGTGTGTGCGTGTGCGTGTCAACTGGATCAGGTATAGTGACTGGAGCGATTTGCCGAGCAATTACAAGTCCAAGCCGCTGACAGAGGAGGAGATCATGGCGATAAACCTGGGGGTCATGCCGCACGACGAGCCATGGTACACTCACGTCACCAGACAAAAGGCGTGAGTGAGTGAGTGGGCGGGGCTAGGAGGATCCTAGAGCTAAGAGCTGCATGACCCTCCCCCCTTCAGCGGCCAGTTTTTCTGTGTGTGCAAACATGGGTGTTTTCCATTGGCTGGCCCAGCAGCATCAGAGAGGTACACGAAAGAGGGACCGAGGGAGGGAGGGGTGCTTTTGCTGCTGCTGCTGCTGGTTGGATGAATGGATGGATGGATGGATGGAGCGAATGAACCACTGCGCGCCTGACGATGTATCAGCTGCCGAGTATCGGGGCTGGATTGGTGTGGTATGAGCTCGGTCTGTCCGTTTCGCGACTGCCTGCCAGGTTGGAGCCGTCACCCGTGGAAAGTTGGACAGCTACAGCCTGGTTGACAGTGGTCTCATGGACAGACTGAACGGAACCCGCCACACGGCTCGTTGACACGGCACTCATGGACATGTCTGAGTGCTTTCGACTGCTTGCCCGTGTTCCCACTCATCTTAGAACTGGGATGTAATGCAGCGCGCTCTAGCAATGTGCACCGATCGCCTGCTGTGAAGAGGCAGTCGGTGGCCCTTGCCTGAGGGCGCTGCACACGTCCCAGAGCAAGACGAGAGAAGGATAGCAAACCGATGGATGTCACTGAGCGAGACCAAGGGGTGAAGGAAGAGATGATTTCCCTCGTGTGAAGACTGCCGAGGGTGCCATGGTTCACATCACACGCATGTTATGACATTGATTGATATGGATGCAAGACACCGTCATCCATCCATCCATCCACCACGTGACATTGCACGAGTCAGTCAGTCGATCTGTCTGTCGGTCTGCGGCCCTCACGAGCCGCACGTCGAGAACACTTACAGGGAAAGGGCGGGCGAGTGGATGGATACTCCAGCAGCAACACAGCGGCATCGGAGTAGCGGCATCATGACTGACACACGACAAACCATGACAGACAGACACGCAGCACCACCATAACATAACACGCACAGCACGAACGACACGCATAGCACGTTCGCTACTCAGCCGATAAAGCTCCAAGGAAGGCACATGAACCAACACGCATCAACAATTCCATCCACGCAAACACGTTTCCTTCCGCCCGCAGATCACATGTGTGCCCGCCGACCATACATCAACCGATCGGCAGAAAAAGGGGCGGCCCTCTCTCTCGCTCCCTCACTCTCTCACTCTCGCGCCAGCCTCCACCGACGGACACAGACGAACGAACCGGCTCGAGTGAGTTTCACTCAACTCAGTCACTCGGCAACAGCACCGGTCCACTCCCTTACTTATAGCCCCCCATCCCCCCCATCCATCCCCTCGTCACAATCCAAAAAGTCCTTGAGCTCCTTCGCCCTCTCTGCCATTTCTTCCCTGCTCCGGAGGGGCATCGACATGGGCTGCTGGGCGGCGGCGGCTGCAGCTCCCGGAGCCGTCGCCACTCCAGTGATCTCACAGTCAGGAGCCGCCGCCACTCCAGTGATCGCACAGTCATCGTCCTCATCTTCCGCGACGATCGGTCGTGCTGGTGGCTGTGGTGGCGGTGGTGGTGGTGGTGCATCCGGCGGGTCGTCGTCGTCATGGCTCAGGTCCATCACCTCTGCACCCCGTGCTGCTGCTGCTGCTGGTGGTGAAGCTGCCGCTGCGGCCGGCGGGGATGCGTCTTCGTCCGACTCGTCCAGCAAGTCAATGCAGATGGGCCCGTCACCGAACTCCTCACGCAATTGTTGCTGCTGCTGCTGCTGCTGCTGGCGATCCTGCTTCTTCTTGATGTGAGGGCTGACACGCCCGCCGCCGCGGGGGGGCCCGCCGGAGTGCCCGCCGTTGGCTGGCTCGCCACGCTGCTTCTGCTGGTGCGATGGGTGCTTGGGTACGATGGCTGCAGCTGCTGCAGGGGCCGCACCGAGCCCCGGCCTGCAGTGCACAGACAAACACAATCGTATCGATGGATAGATGGAGGCATCGCGTCCCTTTTGCCCCTCCACCCACCCACCCAGCCTCCCTGCTCACATGGCGACGGGGGTCTTGTCCGCTAACACCAACGCTCGCCCATCAACGCGGTCCGCCATCAACACCTCACCGTTCTCACGGCGACCACGGCCGCCTCGCGGGCTCATGCTAACGTCACGCTCGCCCTGCCCAGCCCCGCCGATACCACCTCCACCAAAACCTGCTCCCTGCTGCCCGCCAGCTGGCACAAGTGGGTGCGCCTGCGGCGAGTACGGGACGGCCAGGAGGCCCTGCTGCTGGTGGGGCTGCGCCATCTCGGCATCGCTGCCGGGACTGATGAGCGGCTTTGGCTTGGGACTCACACCCAACCGCAAGGCTGGGGCAGCAGCAGCAGCAGCAGCCGCAGCAGCAGCTGGTGCAGCTGGCGCAGATGGTCGTGGCGCAGCGAACGAGACCGCGGTCTGAGCCGCATCCAGGTCAATGGCGCGATCCGCGTCTGCACCCGCACTTGCAGTCGCCCCAGCTGCTGGCTCGACGGCTGCCTCGCTGGTCACCGCCATGGCAGGTGGACCGCCAGCAGCCGACGCACACGGCAGCACAGGGTGGTGTGCTGGTTGACTTGCCGAAGCCGCAGCACCATCAGCAGGTGCCTCCTGGATGGCGTCTTGAGTGGCATCTTGAGCCATGAGTGGCTCCAAGGGGGGTGGTGGGGGTGGTGGGGATGGTCTAGAGGGTAGGGAGAAATGACCGTCGCCCTCAGCTGCAGCCGCTGGCGGAGCAGCTACAGCATCATCCGCCATGTGTGCATGGACCTGTCGGCGGAGAGCAGCAGGCGACACAGACACCCCGTCCCATAACTCCAGAGGATCCAAGTGGGCAAATTTTAAGTAGTACTCGACCTGTGGGGGCACATCCACATCCATCTCCCCATCGCCATGGCCATCCACAGGCGGGAGCAGCTCGCCGTTGCTCAAGTCGTCATGCTGGTCTGGTTCTGCCGGTGGCGGCAGTGCTGCTGCGTCGGCCTCCGTGACGAAAGCCGGCGCCTCAGCTTCGCCGACCACGGCCGGTGGTGGCTCCATTCGGCTGCTGGTGGAGAGCTCGGCAGGGGGAGCCGCAGCACCTGCCGGGTGTGCAGGTGGCTCAGACGTCATGGCGTTGTCGACCATGTCCGTGGCAGGCTGGCTTGGCTGCTCCTCTGCTGGTGCAACGTGCACCGCGTGCTCCTGAGTAATTAATGACAGAATACCAAGCAAGGAGTGAGTGACCATCTGATCTGCGCCAGCCATCATTGTGCAGTGCAGTCAGTACTGTTGTGTGTGCACCTCACTCACCTGCAGGTGCTCCCCACCCTCGTCCTTGATGGACTTCTGCCGCTTCAGTGGACGCTCCCTCCCCCCCTCACCATCAGACTCGGCACCCCGACAGAGCTCCATGGGCGATCCCGATCCGTCCGAGCGGATCATGCCACCGGCCCCACCCACACCCTCCCGTGCCCGCGGCGCCACGCTGCGATCCTCCTCATCCCTATCAGCCCTCTTCAGCCCCAATATCAGCCCACCACCTCCACCACCAGCAGCAGCAGCGGCCGGCACCGATGCACGTGTGTCGAAGTGCTCGCTGGTGTCGCCATCTTGTTGCATTGGCTCGGTCGAGCCGTCTGCTGCAGGTGCGGCTTCGATTTGACCTCCCGAGCCGTCGACCACCAGTGCGCCCGCCTGTGAGTCGGTGTTGTGGCTGGCGTCACCACTGCCGTTGCCGCGCTGGTCCTGCAGCTGGTCGGCACACTTCTCGACGCGTGCCTCCCCGCTGGTTGGGGCCGCAGCAGACGAGTTGGTGGTGTAGGGTTGGTGGGGCCACCCCCTAAGCATCCACAGCCCCTCCTCCGCATCCATGTCTTCGGTGCGAAGCTGATCTGACATCGATTGCGGCGAAGGACCGGGTCGATGGAAGCGCGAGTCGAATCGGCTCCGCCCCCTCCGACGCGGTGCCGAAGAGCCGTCAGTGTTGTCGTCGTCCTGGAGGGGGCGTGGGTGCTGCTGCTGTGTGGGCAAGGTGGGCAGTTGGGAGGACAGCCGGAGAAGACGGTCCTCCTCAGCTGCCCTGACCACCTCCACCTCCCGTCTGCGCTGCTGCTGCTGCTGCTGCTGATATTCGATGTGGATCTGCACCGCCGCATCCCACAGCCCGAATAGATGTGCGCACTTGAGCAGCTGCTTAATGGATGCGCTGCGAAGCTCCAGCTGGTGAAGGCCATTCTGCCGCAAGATGTCGTCCGTGTCGGCCTTGTGGGTGCCGCGGTAATTGCGCACCAGCTCCATCAACCTTGCGCGGCCAATCTGACCCATTTTCAATTTGATGCCCTCCCTGTAGCGGAAACCGTGGGCAACGGCCATTGACGACCGGTCCCCACTCATGCGGTCCTCGGCACCACCAGCGCTACCAGCACCACCAGCAGGCTCTGCAGCTGACCTGGGGCCCTGGCTGCTCCGCCTCTCTCGGTGTCCCTCCTCAGCGCTGAAGCCGGCCTCCAGAGGGGGGAGCGCCATGGACCTGTCGCTCATCCACGGGGATGGATGGATGCGATAGAATTGCGGACGAGGGGCCGGATGATGATTCGGGCGAGGGCGAGGCTCCATGCACATAGGCCTGGCCGTGGGCGGCAGCAAAGGGAGCAGCGGCATCACCTCCCGGGGTGGGAATGGTGGTGAGAGTGAGGGAGGGGGCACATCGCTCATCAAGGCCCGGCGAGGGCCATCGACGAACAGTCCGCCGGCCGTGTCGTGAGGTGGCACACCGACAGGGTCACCTACTCGCGGCAGTCGTGGTGGTGGTAGTGGTGATGTAGGTGGGGGTCGACGGACTCCTCCTCGACGAGAGGCACGGCTGTGTGGCGGCGAGGCGGGCAGTGGGAGAGGGACCGACAGGCGCTCACCAGTCGTGTGCCACCGGACTAAGGCATCATCAGGGGCCGCAGTCGGTTGCAAGACCGCGTCCGCCTCCCTGGGGACAGCCTCAGACGGCTGCGACTCGGCAGGAGGCGCACTCGCACTCGCAGTCGCCTCAGCCGCTGGCTCGACGGCTGCCTCGCTGGTCACCGCGATGGCAGGTGGACCGCCAGCAGCCGACGCACACGGCAGCACAGGGTGGTGTGCTGGCTGAGTTGCCAAAGCCGCAGCCCCATCAGCAGGTGCCTCCTGGGGGGCCTCTTGTGGTGCCTCTTGGGTGGCGTCTTGAGCCGTCTTCTGCCGCTTCCTCCCCACCTTGCGTATCCTCATCAGCTGGGGCACCGATGAACTGCGACTGTCCCCACCCCCAGAGGGCACTGATGGCGCCGCGCTGCTGATGGAGGCACCACCAGCAACACCCACACTCCCAGCAGCGGCTGGTGCTGCCACAGCCTGACAAGGAATGAAGACGAACGTGTACGTGCATGTGTGTGCTTGTCGCACATGTGCTGTGTGGTGAGAACATGGTCTGTCCATGTGTACCTGGGCGTGGGCGTCGTCGGCATCATCCCCTTCTCCCTCTCCCTCGCCGTCGTCGTCGGCGGCCCTCTTGCGCTTGCCGAGCGGCGAAGGGGGCGCAGATGGCTCCATACAAGTCGGCAACACAGCAGCAGCAGCAGCAGCAGAAACCTGCACAAATCAGACAGAGACGTGACAATGTTGTTTCTGTCGGGTTGGGCTGACTTGGTCATACCTGTGGCAGTGCACCATCTGCTGAGGCCTGCCTCTCGGCCTGTCCGTCGGCCTCCATCGGCTGATCTCCCACCGCCGCCGGCAGCTGCTCTCCTGCTGCTGCCGGGAGAGCCCCAGCAGGGCCATCGAGGGATGCAGATGCAGGTGCAGCAGCAGCTGCTGGTGCAGCAGGAGGCAGGAGTGAGGCCTGAAAACAGCCAACACAGGTTGACTTGACACAGGTTGACGCCCTAAGTGTCTTGCCTGACTGCCTTTCTGCCTCACTGACCGATTCTTGCTGCATGTCGTCGGCCACCTTCCCTGCACGCTCGGTCTGCTGCTGCTGCTGTCGTGGTGGTGGCGGTGGTGCCGGCTCTGCCGCATCTTTCCCCTCGCCGTCCTCCTGGCTCTCCCCAGAGCTGCTCCCAGGGTCGCTAACCTCATCAGCCCACCAGCCCGGGTCCTTTGTGGCCTTGCCGGCCGTCTCCTCCATTCTCTCGGACACCTCCCGAGTCGGAGAGGGATTTGGCTCGAAGTGGGGCGGCTGTGCTGCCGCTGCAGCAGCGGCATGGGGGAGGGGAGCCAGGGCCATGTCATCGTCATTGTGCGGCCTTGGCTTCTCCTGCCGTCGGCGTCGTTGTGGTGAGTCGGTGTGGTCGTTCGGCTTCGCGCCGATGTACCCACGGCAGAGCTCTTCCCCACAGTGGCACTTGATGTACGCGTAGTCTGCGCACACACACACACACGGGCAGACAGACGGACAGACAGTGAGAGGGACGTGAGGGAGTGGTGTGGGTGTCTGTCTGTCTGTCTGTCGGTTCTTTATCTATCTCACGTACGCTCAGTGTAGTCGATGGTGATCGGCTGGCCAGGCTCGATGTCACGAACGGGGAAGACCACCAGCTGCGGAAAGAAGGCCCCGCACGCGCTGAGTGATCGATATATCGAGTACAACACAACCACCACTCGTGATAGGTATCGATCGGCACGTGTGTGTGTCCATTCAGTCATTCGTCACTCACGTGGCTCTCGAGCAAGTGCCGTTTGGGAAGTTAGCGACGACCCGGCAGTTAGGGACACAGCTGTGGCTCTGCACCAACCAACCCACGCAGAGAGACAAAACAGTCAGTCGGTTAAGCTGCCTGTCAGTCCCTGCCCTGCCCTGCCCCCCTCCTCCCCTTTGTGTGTAAGGGCACGGCGCCGCCTGACCGTCTGACCCAGGTGTGTATCACGTACCATGAAGCGACTAACATTGCCGACAATGCTGGAGTCGACGCACGGGTCGAGGTTCTCCTCTTCTAGACTGTCGTCGTCCGTGGTGCCCGAAGTGTTCTTTTTTACGTCTGTGTCGTCATGGGGCTCGTCGAACACGCTGTAGATGTAGTTGGTCTCGTCGTCATCCGCCCGAGCCGCCATGATGTTGCCTTCGGTCTGGGTCTTGCGCACACCAGCGTACCTGAGTGTCAGCCAGACACCCACAGACAGACAGACAGACAGACAGCGCGCATGTGTCACACCTGTCTGGCCGCGTGGCTCTCTGTTTTGTGTTGTGTTGTATTGTGTGTCCGTACTCGCAGATCGGCTTGCCCTTTGGGATCCTCGCATCCGCCCGCAGCTCCCAGCCTTTCTGCTCTGTCTTGTGGATAGCGAGAGGAAACCTGATGCCGTCGATTCGCACCCTAAGACACACACACACACACACACACAGAGAGAGAGAGAGAGAGAGGCGTGTTTGTTTGTGTCATCCACAGCCCCATTGGTGCATCGACCCATAGTCCGGCCCCTCCCTGACACACGCACCTGTTTTCACACTCGCGGCTGCATTGGCAATTGTGGTCACTGCAGCTGCCCATGTGGTGACTCCGGCTGTCCACGTCTGTGGTGTCCACCGGCGGCGTGTACCCCAGGCAGTAGATGAGCCGTGTCTTCTTGTTCTGGATGGCCAAGCACTTCCTGGGCGCGTCCACTCCCGCCCGACCTCCTGGCTCCAGCAGCTGCCACTCGCCGTCAAGCCCACTCGGCCCGTTCCCCTCTTGCCCAGCCTCATCGGCCAGCCCGAGCACCTTGTCGCGGGAAGCGCCCAGGGTCTTGATCTCATTGCGCCTGCCCTGTTGCTCCAGCAGCCGCTCGGCGATGGCACGGACGTATGGGGGGGCGCAGCCGCTGCAGGGGGCGTCGTAGTTGACGAGGTGGGAGTAGGGGAAGCCGGTGTCGATCTGCCCGCGGGTGTAGCAGAAGGTGATGACATTGGCGTCCCGCCCAGTGTCATCAACGTAGTTGTACACAGCGATCTTGTGCTTGTCGCGGCCGAGAGCGAGGTCGGCGCAAATGGGCTCGCCCATGGGCTTATGGAGGTGGAACAAGTTGGCGGGCCTGCAGCCGTGAAGGACGACAGACAGACAGACAGACACACGTCATTCATTCACTGTGTGCGTGCGTGTGTGTGTGTGTGTGTGTGAGGGTGCATGTGGTGACTGACGGTGGCTGGAGTAGGATGGATGTGCGCTTGCCGGGTCGTGAGCGGAATATGTGCTGGATGGGCTTGTCCTTGAGAGCAGCTCTGGCCAGGGGGATGACCTGGTTTGGTTGGGTTGATGGATACGCACACACAGCACAGCGTCCGTCCGTCGGGCGGTGTCAATCACTTCCCTCACTCAGTCACTTGTGTGATGTCAGTGAGTGACCTACTTGGGTGTCGGTGTCGGTGGCGATTTTGAGCTGGAAGTCGAAGAAGGGGCTGTTCTTGTCCCTCCCTACCGGCAAACCACGAGGGATCAACTGTTAACACCAGACATCAATCACACCACACATGACGGACGCAACGAGCACAGCCACTTCCCTCCCTCCCGCCCTTGCTCGTGTGTCTTCCACCCACCATCCGCTCCACATCCTCGCAAGTGTCCATATCCCGCACCCAGACGCTGCTGGTGGTCTCACCCCACGCACCTCTCTCCACAGCCACCTCACACCCTCTGCCGGCCGTCTCGGCGCGGTCCTTCTTAGTCGCAGACTTCCTCATTTCGTCCGAGTGATTGAAGGGGCTGGGAAAGGTCACAGACCCGACGGTGATGTCTGTCGAGACCTCACGGGAGCGGCGAGCTTCGTGGCGGGGGGGCATGTAGAAAGGCGTCGGTTGGGACTGATCGGTGGGCTCAAAGAGGGACTCGGACTTGAAGATGAACCTGAACGAAAGAGCCGACGAACGAACAAGGGGGAAGGGCAAACGATGCGATCCAGAGAGTCTCTCTCTCTCTCTGTGTGTGTGTGTGTGTGTGTTTGTGTGTGTTTCAGCGTCACGTACTTCCACACATGCCCCCTTTCTGTCTCCTCCCTCCATCCATCCTTCACCAGGTGACGCCCTGAATCCATCAGCCACACACACACACACACACACATACTGACGCGCTGACTGCCATCCATCCACCCATCCCTACCGTCATATCTGCAGCCCCACAGTGGACGGAAGGGCGACTCTGCGATGGCGCTGCGGGAGACTTCCACCGGATGTTCTGTGTCCAATGCGGCCGTGAGGGCCAGCCTCGCAGTAGACTGAACGGACTACACGACACAGACAGACAGGGAGTGCGCTGTCCTGGATGGATGGATGGATGGATCAATCAACGTACCAACAGCCGTTGCCTTGTCTCTTTGTTAGCTTTCTTCACTTGGGGAAGTCGGAGGGCGTACACGAACCGGTCGCCCCGGTCGTCCGTCACGTTGTCGCCCTCCAACACCACAGACACACACACGGTGGTCTTCTTCCCTGAGGTGGGCCACGCCACCACACACACACACACAACACACACACACACACAAATACATGGACCCGGCCCGGCGAGATGAAGACACACCCCACCTTCCTCTCTCGGTGTGCTTGCCTTGCACGTACCTTTCTCCACTGCGATGGGGTGTGTTACGTCCTTGTGCACGCCGCAGAGCCGCAGATGGTGGCGGTTCCAGAACATAGCGCCAGGCCTGATACACGGGTAGGTGCCCAACCCAGGCGGCACGAGTCCGCCCCTCTCGAGCGCCAAAACCGACTGCTCCAAGCTTGCGCGCTGGTTCATGAGCGTCACGAGGCCCAGATTGACGATCTCTAGCGCAGTGGTGCCATTGTCGCCGTCAGGGCCGAAGCTATTCTTGTACGTGATCAGGTCACACACTTCAGGAGCAGGAACGGCCGGCAACTCGCCCGACCGGCACGGGTTCCTCCTCGGCCGATCGTTGGCACCGATCTGGCTGCTGAGCTCAGACGGTGCAGCGAGCATCTTGTCCCCCCTCGCTGTCCGCCGCTGCCTGACCCCGTAGCGCGCGGCACCGCCACCGAGGAAAGAGGATGGTGAGTCGCCTTGATCCGCAAGGGAGGGGGTGGGATCGCTAGCGTCATCGGTGCCGTTGAAGCCGGAGGGCGATGGGACGTGCTCTTGACGTGCCGCTGCCGGCTGGTTGGCGTCATCGTAGTCATGGGCATCGTGGTCGTCATCCCAGTCCAAACTTTCCGCCATGGCTAGCGCCATGGCCGTCCTATCAACACGAGGGACGCCCTAGCATAGTCACTGCCGCTCCGCCGATGAGTGCTTGGTTGGTCACACCTCCCCGCAGCTGTGAGGGTCGTGTGGATCAAAGGGAGGACGGCGGGCAGAAAGATCCGCCGTTCGCTCCTGCTCCGAGGCCGTGGCCGTGCGGACCTCCTTGTGGCAACATCGCCTCCACTATCGCTGTGCAGCAGCGGTTTCAGGGAGCACTATGATCGTCTGCGAGCTCAAAAAAAAAGTGGAGCGACCCAAATCCCCCATTCTCCAGCCGCAGACAGGCGCCATGGGTTCCCAGGAGGGTCACAATCCCCCGCATCTGCCGTCTGGCTCCATGAACATGGATCCACCCGACCAGCAGAGGAGCAATTCCTCATCCGATGCCCCCTCCCAGTGCAGCACCAGCGGAAGCAGGGAGCACCGAGCGCCGAGAGGCCGGACAAGAGGGAGGGCGTCAGCCAGCTCCAACCCAAGAGCACCAACACCTTGGAGTGACAGTCGCGGTACGGCCCGTGGAGGGCCGACTGCCCGGCAGCTGGCGTCGTTTCGTGCCCAGCGTGGCGACGTGGCGGCGGCATCATCGCGTGCTGAGAGGAAGGAGCGGGAGGCCCGTCAGCGTATCAAGGATCTGCCCCACTCCTGCTCACTGGCGGTGTTCCGCCAGGTGCGGCGGCTGGCGGGGAGGCAGGGCAAGCCGGGACACCTGCTGCAGGTCGTCGGACGAGTCTGGTGAGTTCACACCACACATGACATGCAGAACAGAGGAGAGGAGAGGAGAGGGGGAGAGGGAGAAGAACCACACACGACACGAGCAGTGCAATGGCGTGTGTGTGTGTGTGTGTGTTTGTAAGGTTGGAGACGGTCAAGGTGTTGAGTAGCGGCAGCCTGAAGCGTGACTCTGACGAGGACTGTGCCCTGGTGATGCACAACGCGGGGTATGAGCTGTGGCAGACGGCCGACGACATGCTCGGCACGCCCACACTCAAGTCCATCACACCGGGATTCCACTTTCTGCGCGACGGTAGGTCGGTAGGCGACCCGACCCGACCACCACACACAGACAGAGACAGACAGACATGGAAAGCGGCGCGGCGCGGCGCACAACACAGTATATGCGTCCGCCATGTGTCGTGTGTTGGATGTTGTGGTTGTGCAGGTGAGTTGAGTGCGTTTCGCATGCTTGGCGGTGTGTTGGATGAGGTCGACGAGGCGTCGGGGCGGGTCTACTGGGAGACCATACACCGAGATGGCGTCTATCTGGGGGGCGATGAAGGTGAATACGTCATCCTCTCAACACACTCACCCACATGGACACCCTCCCTGCCTCTCTGTTTGCCTGTCTGCCTGCCTGCGTGTGTGTGGTTCATTCAGGCAAGTATGCCGTGGCCATCGTTGTGTCCAACGATTGTGTGGACCGGGGCGTCCGCTTCTTGTGTGTCCCCGGCCCCTCCGACAACGGCGTCGCCGACGCCGAGCAGGGCCTGCAGACCATGTACGAGCAGCACGAGCCCGTCCGCGTCATACGAAAGCACTCGCTGCACTCCAAGTGAGTCACACCACACCACAACACACCACACGGAGGGGTGCGGTGCATTCGATGTCTGTGTGTGTGTTTGTGATGTGTGTTAGGTATCGTTCGTCGTATGGGTTTCGGTATGACGGCTTGTACTTCGTGGAGCACGCCTGGCGCGACTACTCTTGCCGCCACGGCAAGGTGTGTTGGCACTTCGTCCTGCGCTTCTCGGACGAGCCGCCGTCGGAGCCCTACAGCAACGGCGGCTACCGCATCCCCGAGAACGAGGAGGCCGAGCCGCCGGACGAGAGCTTCCTCTCTTACATAGAGGAGAGCAACATTCCAGACTGGTATGGTATGCCTTGCCTGTCGATTCGATAAGGCAACACAACACACCACACCACAACACACGACCCATGTTCACGAGAGACCGCTGGGCTGTGCTGTGTGTGTGACGTGACGCCTCTCTGTGTCTGTCCGTCAGGTATTTGAAGCACTTGCGCAAGGCCCGGGTCCCCACCAATGGCCCCGGCCCACCTTCGCCCAACAAGATGACGCGAGAGATCCCGCTGGACCTCCCCGGCGCACTTACCCTCACACTCGAGCGGCAAAACAGCAGCGGCGGCCCCGGCGGCAGTCGCAGTCGCAGCCAAGGCGAGTTTGACGAGACCGAGTCGTCATGGTCCGGCAGCTACGCGCGCAGGCTGTCGCTGGAGGTCGACCCACTCGACACGTTCGCTGACGTGATGGAGAACCTCGATAAGGTGTGGACGGACGGGGGATGGGGGCGAGGGGTGTGTGAAGGTGCGGGGGGATCTCTCTCTCTCTCTCTGTGTGTGTGTGTGTGTGTGGATGTGTTTAGTTGTGTGTGGCGGAGAACGTGGCCTGGTCGTCTGATGAGGGCACGCCCGAGTTCCTGCCATTTCAGCTGCGGATCGACAACGCGGGAAGCACAGAGGTGGGTGGGTGGGTGGGTGTGGTGTGCACAGCTACACCAGCAGGCAGGCAGTACCATCCCCCCTTGATCAACAACCTACTTGCTCTGTCCCATTCTCCCTCCCTCAGCTGCTGTCGATTCCCCGCAACTTCCTGTCGATGCCGTTCTTCCGTTTCGTCGCCCCCTCGCGTCACACGGACCCCTTCTCTCCCCACAGCGGCACCCATCGTGGCCGCGGCAGGCCGCCCAGGGGACGCCGGGGCAACGGCCGCAACAAGAGCTCACCACGGGCGGCGGCTGCTGCTAGAAACGACAATGGTGGCAGCAACGGCGACATGCAGCCGAGGACGTACGCCAAGCAGAGAGAGCGATGGCGTGGCGGGATTGTCAGTGGCGTGGTTTGTGTGTGGTGTGTGGTGTGGTGCAGGGTGACGTTGAGTATCGTGCTGGACCCGCCTTACCGTGCGGGGGAGTTTGATCCGTCCAAAGACCTGTCGGGCGGCAAAGAGCCGTTCCCCGTCCCTGGTCAGTCCGCACATTCACACACGACAGGAGAAGGCCGCCAGACGCCTGAATGCATGTTTGTTTGTGTCGGTCGGTGCTCTTGTTGTCAGTTGACATGGGGGCTGGTGCTGCTGGCAGTGGTGGGTCGATGCGCCACTCGCCCTACAACTTCTGCTACGTCAAACACATGGTGGCCTGGAGCATGACCGACAACGGTGCGCAGCACACACAAACCACACCAACACGCCGATCCATCCATCTCCTCTCTGTCGCCCTCGGATCAGACCATTTGCGAGGCATCTGCAGCGGGTGTGCCCCCGAGGAGGGTCGCGACGCCGCCCGGACGCTCCTGCAGCTGCGCATCAAGTACATCAGGGACACCTACCACCAGAACGACCCGCCGCCCAACGCGCGAGGCGTCACGCCAGGCGGCGACATCAACAGAGTCATCGCACAGTACTACCGCATCATCCAAACCATGGCAAGCTGACCCTGCTACCAAACACAGGCACACACACGTGCCCTCTCTCTCTCTCTCTCTCTGTCTGTCTCTCCCTGTCTCTCTCTCAGGGCCGCCCACGGGATTTCGACAGCAGCAAGACGCCCCTGCTCGCCACCCCAGCAGCTTTCGCCAACCACCGCGCCAGCAGCGACATCGACGCGTCGGTGGACGGGTGGATGGCCAACGACGCCTCTGACCTCCACATGAGGGTGCACAACGGGTGGCGTCTGATCGCGGGCTGCATCAAGCACAAGGAGGTGGTGCGGTGCTGGGCAGTGGAGAAGGACGGGGTGCGGTACTGCCTCGGCAGCTATGACGGTGACGAGCACGCCTTCCCTGGCGACTGCTGCGGGGAGCGGTGCGGCTGCCTGGCCAGCACCTGCACTAACAGGTCGGTCAGGACGGGGAGTCGCTCTGTGGGTGTGGGTATGGTGGTCACTCTGTGTGAGCGGTTTGTGTGTGTTTTGTGTGTGGGCGGATTAGGACGTTTCCAAGGGATGGTGTGCGGTATCCCATGGGTGTGCGGTGGACGGACGAGCGAGGCTTCGAGTGCTACTCGCTCGTAAGCACCCAACCACACACACACACACACACACACAGACATCCCGACACACACACACACTTGTCACATGCACACCTCCCCCTCCTCCTCTCCCTCTGTGTGTGTGTGTGTGTCATCAGTCGGTGCCGCCCATCCCGCCCCACGGTGTGGTGATGTGTTACGCCGGCGAGCGCATCAATCTCATCGAGAACAATGTGCGGTCTGAGGTGGCCAAGCGCCACGGCGACGTGCACAACTACATCATGGAGTACTGGGAGAGAGACGACGACGATGACGACATCGACCATGCCAACGGTGGCAACGACGATGACAACGCACAGCAGCAGCAGCAAGGATGCCCGCTGAGGCGTGGGAGAGAGGAGGACTCTCCCGATGACCACCCACACATCGATGCCACGGTGAGGTTAGTCAGGGAGACGACCAGCTATTGTGCATTGTCCATTGTCCATCGTCTCGCTCACGTGATTGCTTTCTGTCCCTTGCCACTGTGGCTGTGTGTGTGTGTGTGTGTGCAGTGGTTCGGCAACGTGTCGCGTTTCGTCAACCATTCGTGCCGGCCCAACTGCCAGGTGTCGGTGCTGTGGCGCGGCACCGAGGGCCACGCGCCGCTCGTCCTCCAGACCATCCGTGAGGTCGCACACGGAGACCCTATCACGATCGGTAGGTACCCGCCACACACACACACACACACACACAGAGAGAGAGAGCCTTCTCCGCCATCACATGGCTTGGTGTGTTTGTTCGTCGTGCATGGCGATAATCAGATTATGGCCTGGCGTACTCGGACATCCCCTGCTGTAAGGGCACAGCACAGCACAGCACACACCCAATGCACTGCACCAAACACACGCAATCAGAACCACACACACACATGACTTGTGTCTCCCTTCATCTCGTCCATCCATCATCATCAGATTGCGGCGAGGAGAACTGTCGCGGCACCATCGGCACCGAGCACCACGATCGCACGTTCGCCCCGGCAGCTGGGGTTGCCGAACCAGAAGCTGCCGCGGCAGCCGCGGCTGCTGCTGCAGCGGGGCTGCCGTCTCTTCCCCCCAGCTCAGGTGGGCTTGTCGACGTTGACGACCGACCACCGAAGAGGTCTCAGCCGTCCAAGCAAGACGACGAGAGGGAGGAAAGGGAGAAGCGGCGCAAGACGGAGGGGGGCGACGAGATGAGCGACGTCGAGAAGGAGGAGGAGAGAAAGCGTGACGAGCCGGCTGCCGCTGCTGCCGCTGCGGCCATGCCCCCGTCTTGGCCTCCACCATACCCCCACCCCTTCCCCCACCCTCCCCCACCGTATGTCCTCTACCCCCACCCACCTCCATACATGCCGCCCCCACCACCCGGCAACAGCCCATACGGATACCCGCACGCCCCTCCACCATACGGCTACCCGCCACCCTATGGCTATCCCTACGGCTATGGGTACCCGGGGTATCTGGGGCCGCACGGGCCTCCTGCGGGCCCTGGCCCGCCGCCACATCCACCCGGTAGGTACGTGAATGCCATGCCACGCCCACACATGAATCACAGCCAACGTCATGTCATGATGTGAGTGACGCTTGGTGTGTGGTGTGGTGTGGTGTGTGTGGTCAGGTGACGGCAACTCCCCTCCCCGTGGCAATGACGCAGAGATGCAGCCACGACAAGGTGCAGATGGAGGGGCACCTGAGCCGGCAACACCGATGCAGGTCGACACAGACGGGCAGCAAGGGCGACAGGAGTCGCCAGCTCACACACCCCCAGTCACAGACGAGGCCTACTCGCCTCCACAGCCACCTCCGACGCCCGACAACAACAATGCGCCGAACGCGCCAGCCCCACCGCCGCTACCCCAAACCCCGATGCCACAGCAGCAGCAACAGCAGCAGCAGCAGCAGCAGAACGGCCAGGGAGAGCCGGAGTCTCCCTCGTCCACCCCCCCGGCGCCATATCGCGTGCAGGGGCCATCAGTGGTGGTTCGAGGCCCCCGAATCAGGGGCAGGGGGGGAGGAAGGGGACGTGGCCGGGGAGGTGGTTTGGTGTCTGTGGAGCCGCCTGCCCCGATCGACCTGAGGGTCTCATGCGACCTCGGTGAGCGACCACACACCCATTCATGGACAAGACGGGAGGGACGACAGAGGCAGCCAGCCATGTACCTGTGTCTGTCTGTGATGCATGCCTGTGTGTAGGTGCCAACGATGCGCACGACCGTCGGCTGGGCCATCTGGACGCCATCGACTTGGTGGGGGGCGTGTCAGTGAGCGGCAATGTGATCGCCTACGACGGCACGCTTCGCTACATCCGGGCTCCGCAGGAGGGCGACAGCGAGTGCCGCATCACCGGACACATGCGACCACGCAACTCCTTCCAAGCAGGAGACGACCAATGCCCAGCTGCGGGAGCAGCTGCTGCTGCGGCTGGGCATGGATCGGCAAACCATCAGGGAGGCGCGAGGGCGACTGGTGGTGGTGCAGCTGCACAAGCGCAGAATCAAGGACCCCCCAGCGCCCCGGCTGTCGGCGGCCCCATCCCTTTGATCGACCTAGAAGCAGAAGACGCAGACGCGGCCAGCCAGCCACAGGCACCACAGCCAGCAGCTGCTGCCGCGGCTCAGCCACAGCCACCGGCAGCTGCTCCCGCCGCTCCCCCGCCGGCCGACGATGCATCACGAGCGATAGTCATAGACGACGACAGCGATAACGAGACGGGTTCGGGCCAGCAACCGGCAGGGGCCCAAGGGGGCGGTGGCCAGGCGGCTGCTTAGCCAAGTGACCACGTAGGGCGATAGAACCAGGCGTGTAGGGGAGGGAGGGAGGGGAGTGTGCGTGAGAACCCTTTTTTGGCGGACTTGCCGAGCCGGGGGGCGGGACCTCCTCTTGCCGAAGTGTGGTAGCGGCACACTGGTTCTGAGGCTCGCTGGCTGCGTAGTAATCCGCCGCGATGTCCCTCACAATCGACACGGTGTGGCGGGCGATGAGTGTGGGGGTCTGTCTGAGCGAAATGAATCTGTCGACTGACAGATAAGGATGAATGAATGGTGTGTGCGGCCGTACGGTGTATGTCTTGATCGACCTTACGACGTTGCGTGCGGCCTTTGATCGCCCCTTTAATATTCATCATTTCCTTTTGTATGTTTGCATCCATCGTGGCGCTGCTGGTGTTGGGGTTGGGGTTGGGGTTTGAGGGACCGATGAACGAGACAGACCCACATGAATGGTTTATTCACATGAACCCACACATTAAATGAAGACAAAGAGGGGGAGATAGAGTTGGTACGCTTCCAGCTTACTGAGCGTGAAGTGAAAACCGTCAACGGACAGTGCATGGGAAAAAGCATCCATCCATCCATCCATCCATCCATCAAGTCACATGGATGCGCCGCCCGATGGCTAAGTGGCCACATTCACTCATGGGAGAAGACGAAATTTACGGATCCGTCATCTCTCGCTAGTCAAAGTTCTCAGTGGCTCCTGCTTCGGCTGGCCAAAAACGGCGGCCCGGATCTGGATCCCAGGCAGGACGATCTACTTGTGATTCTCGTCGTGAGGTGAATGTACACCATCATCCAGCAGAAAGAAACAAAAAGCAGTGTCTTTCACATGAAATTGAAAGAAACTGCGACTGCCTCATGCTGTCGTTGCATGCACCACTCGTGCCGTTCACTTCCCCTCCAGGCAGACCCTTTTGCGATCGTGGCAAGCTAAGCTTGCACGTCCACACACGTTCGCGCCGTCTGGCCTCTTTTTGGCGTCCGGGGGCTCCACCATAGCCCCTGACAGCCGGCCCCTCATGTCAATCGACGTGGCGGCGACGTTGGTCCTTTTCCTCTCCCTTGGTGCCGTGCCTTCGGGGGCTCAGGTCGACGGCACCCTCGAACTTGCATATGGCGGAGACTTTAGGTGAGGACACGAATCGGCCCACACATGTCGGGCGGTTGTCTGCTTTGTGTGTTGGATGGCTCGTGGGTGGCCATGCAGGTATTTGCAAGCCGCGTGGATATTCCCCATTCAGGCATGGGTCGCCAAGCTTGTGTGGGACAAGGAATACCCCACCTTGATGCCCGTAGCAGCAGCAGACAAGAGAGACTTCAACATAACCATAGATATACTCGACACGCTTGCAGATCCAGTACACGACTCTTGACTACCCCACTCTTGACATGCCACTGGGTGTTTCGGATTCTCATACATTCCTCCTGTGTGCCTCAGGCTCGGACGATTAAATGGGCTTCGCAGCTTATTTGGCCACACGAAGGAGCAAGGAATCCATGTGCAGGCGTATAACAGGCACTCCGCGTGAATCTGTCTCCTCCGTGTTGTGTTGTGTGTATTGAATGCGCTTCTATGTTATCACGTCTCATTCATTACTCAATCAGTCGCGTCCCTCGGTAGGCAGGAACCAAAGCATACCGTCTCGCTGCACGCATGGTCATATGGTCAGGCGCGGCGTACAAGACCGTCCAAATATCTGACCTTTCTGGCTCATCCGACCTTCAGCAAAGAAAGTTCTTCCCCTATCTCTTCAGGTGAGTAATGGTGGCAATAGCATGAGCAGACAGTCAGACAGATGAGTACAATTGAATGAGTGTCGACCAATATGAGCGCATCTGGTTGCATATGTAGGACGCTACAGACTAGTCAGGCATGCGGGCCGGAGGTGAGCATTATCGACAAATTCGACTTCAAACGAATCACTTTCTTTTACGCTGACGACACCCTCGGTAAGCAGGAGAGGCAGACATATAGGCAGACAGGCAAGCGCGCATGCTGTGACTTTGTTCTCGGCAGGGCGCTCTTGGTTCAATCGTCTTGAAGCCTGCACTAAGAACATCGACGGATCCACGGTCAGTGTGAGCGTGGTAGTTGAAGGAAGGAGATGATGTCTCTGCGCGTAGCGGCAGCGCCCAGCATGTGCTTTGGCTGTCTGTGCATTTGCTCTTTGTGTAGCTTCGCGGTGAGCCCCTGTCTGTATTCCCCAGCGAATCAGAGTTCGACTCGAGAAATGTTTTTCTGAAAGCTGTGCAAGCCACCAAAGAGCGATGGTACGACACAGCCGTGCTCCCGCTCACGTCAGCATTCCGTTGACAATGCCAGTTTCCTTTCTTCCTTTCTTCCTTCCCTCCTTCCTCCCTACCTCGCCATCTCTCTCTCTCTCTCTCCTGCCGTCTCTGTGTGTACGCGCTTGTTGCGCCATCAGGAGCAGCCAAATCGACCGCTCCCTCGAAGAATTGAATAGTCGAATCTTCGTCCTCTATCTGAGCGTATAAGCACAAACACATGTGTATATGTGCCACAGTATACGTTGTCTTGCATTGTATGCAGAAAGGCTTTTCGGTCTTTTTGCCGCTGATCATCGAAAAGGGACTCGTAGGAGAGGCTTATTTCTGGCGATTCATGGCCCTGGACATCTTTCATAGCATCGAAGGGTCGGTCAGCGAGGAAACGCGTGAAAATACATCAAACTGTATGGATGTCAACGTATGGGATTTTTGCGCTGAGCTGAAGGTTTGTTGGTATTCCCACCAATCCCGATTGGGGTCCCGCTGAGTTCCCTGCGTTTTGGGATCAATCCGTTATCAGTCAATTCGCCGGCGGCATGCTGGAATTCCCCGACGTGCGCGACAGAGAGAAATACCCAGAGTGAGGCATTGAGTTTGCACATGTATGTGCGCATATATCGATGTCTTGGCCGATGGCCTGCTTTTCAGGTTTGTACAGTTCTGGAGCACTCTGAGCCCAGCGGATTTCCCTGATCAAATGCATTGCTACCTCTATGGTAAGATGAGACTTTGTTGGGCAGCAGATTAGATGTGAAAAAGCGTATGAATGCCCGTGTGGTGATCGCAGACTTCTGTCTTTGTTATTTTCCTTGCTGCTATGGGTATCCCTGGTTGCGCTCAGGCGGCTGCGAACAAGGAGGAGCATGTGATCGCACTGTCACGAGCGAGAGCAGCTGCACGGATGGTCCAGAAAGAGCAAAAGTTGGTGGCGGCGAGACAGAGCGGTGGGCGTTGTTCAGGTGTTTTCTACCATGGCGGTCTTGCGGAGAATTATGTACATCGTTGGTTGATTAACCCCAGCTACAGTGACACCGATATCTTCACCGGCAAGCCTCCAAACGGGATTCCAGAGCCCGATCCGGTTAGATCCACATACACACATACATGCCTTTCCCCCCTCCCTACGGTCCCCTGAGTGTCCTGTGTCATACAGGTGCTTTTTGGAGAGGTAGCAGATTACATCATTGGCACACTCAGACATGGAGGCCCAAACAAGAACTGGCTGCGGCGCATGTGTAGTCGATATATTCTGTTGTTCATCAGGGTGGCCGTGCCTTCGATGGCATGATGGCGATCTTAGTCGCCACAAACAGACTGCTCAATAATGGCACGGCCATGGCAGATATCCGTGGCGACCTTTTGAAGCATGAGATCGAGACCATGGAGCCAGTTCCTGGTGTGGATGCAGTTCTGCCCATTCGGTGTCTTTCTTGAATGTATATATATCGATGTGTCTCAGGCATCGGTGGCACCGTCAGCTTTGATCCGACCACTGGCAACCGTCTCGAGTCCCCTTCAATAACCCTGTTCTATCGAATTGACGAAGATCGTAATGATAACAAGAAACAAGGAGAGAATCCCTTTATAACAGCACAAGGGGGTAATCCCTTCATAACAGAAGGTACACAACTATGTCACAGCAGACATCGTGGGGCAATGGCTAGTCAGGCAAGGCAAGCAAGTCTGTATTGCCTGACTGCAGCTGCGTCGTATTCGTGGAAGGCTTCAGAGATGACATGGTATGAGAACTGGCGATTTGCCGGTAATACTACGGATGTGCCCAGGTGATCCATATGCAATTGCACAATGGACGCCTAACGCGTGACTGTTCCCATTCATTTCATCTTACTCTGCAGGTCTCTTCCATCGCGGTGTCCCGCAGGGCAGTTCGCGGATGCTGATTGGGCGTGCCAGCCCTGTCCACAAGGGTCTTTTCAGTCTGAGGAAGGTGAGACTTATCCATGTGCTCTCGACAGTGTATTTGGGCCTTTTTGTCTCTTTTTGTGCGGCTTTAGGTCAAGAGAAGTGCATTCCGTGTGAACCAGGCACCTATCAAGACGAAATACAGCAGACGTTTTGTGAGCCTTGTCCCATGGGGACGTATACGAATACGAGCGGCTCCAGGACCTGCACTGTTTGCCCGTGTGAGTCATGACTCATGGAAGGCAGAGTATCGGGCGTGTCCTTCTGTGTCCCCATGCAGATGGAGTCATTTTAGGAGCAGAGTCGGAAGGGCGGACTGCGAGTTGGGCCCGTGTGTAGGCTATTTCACACACACACACACACACGAACGACGCCCGTGTGTTTTGTGATTATGCAGGAGTTCATGGATTATGACGGCAGCAGTACAGAGGCTCCCCCTGAGAACGCAACGGCGTTCACGCACGCAGTTCCGTTGGCGGTGCTGTTTACGGCTGCGTCAGCCTCCCTATATACATATCTATAGAGTCGATCCTTGTGGGTGTGCCCGGTGTGAATTAAAGGCTAAGAAAGATGAACGTGGACTTGTGTGGTATTGTGTCAGATGTCTGTTGTCTGTTACAAAGCGTTAGCTTCCAATTTTGGGACGTACGGAGACAGAAAACTTTGTCTCTTTGCTGCTAGCTAATGCATCCGCGTGTGGACACCAGAGAGGGACTGTGTCGGCCATTTGCCATTCAATCGATTGATGCGTCCCCCCCCACCCCCCCACCCACACGCACTCACACACACACAAGCGCCCCAAAACACAGTCCATTGGAGTGAACGCAGTTAGTCGCCCATCTATCGTCAGCTATGCTATCCACCGCACAACGGATCACCTATTGCACATTCCCGACTCCCCCACCCTCAACCTGCCCCTTGGCCATGCCGTCGTCAGATGGCGACACGGGCGGTGTGGCCGACCGCTGCTCATCGCCATCAGTCGACACCTGGCCGTCACTCTTAGAGCTTGACACGCCATTCTGCTGCTGTGGGTGGTGGTCGTCATCAGCCACAGGTCTCGAGGCCGAAATGAGCGGCGGAGCGCCTGACAGACGCGCAATGGAATGCGTGTGTGTGTGTGTCTGTGTGTTGGTCAGCCGCCGATACGCACCGCTTGTGGATGGCTGCATCTGGATCAGCTGGGGAAGGTTGAATGGCACCGGGACCGGCGGCGGGGCCGCCACACCAAAGCCGTCACCTGCAGGCCAGAGAGCACGCGAATGAATGCTGTGTGCCTGTTTGATGTAGGCGTGTGTTACGTCCAGCCGATGGCGAGCAGTGGGTGAGGTCGATCTTGCCGTCGTAGCCCATCATGCCTGCAGACACACACCCGACCCGACCAACCGATCGACAGACGCTACTCTGTCCTCTCTGGCGTGCGTGTGTGCGTCAGTACTCTTCCTTCTCTACCGGGATGCGGCTGCTGGTGGTGCGACGAAGTCGATACACCGGCAGCCTCTCCAAATGTGAGTCCACCAACTGACAGACATCACACATAGAGCTCTCTTAATGCACCCACGGGCCTGTCAGATACAAGGTCACTTAGTTACCTCTGCCCATCATCTGCGAGCGATTCAGCCCCTCCTTGCCGCTGACAACCCAACTCTGACCAACCAAACCTGAACGACATCCATCCATCCATCCATTCTTTCATGTGTGTGGATGTCTGTGTGTTATTCTGACCATCAGTGAAGCCCCCAGACTTCTTCGCCACTGTGCTGGCGGGCGGCTTCGTGACCTTGATGCGAGACCTGCTAGGGGAGCGGGCGGCCGCACGGGCACGCTTGTGGCCATGAGCGGCCACGCTTCTGCCACGTCCTGTGTGGGCGGAGAGAGGAGGGATTCACCTGTGTGCATGTATGTGTGTGGTGCGCCCGTGCGTGTGGGTCACCGTACCCTTGCTGGTGCGCTTTCTTGGCGGGGGGTACTCTGTGTCGTGTTCGTCGCTCATCACGATGTTCTCCTCCTCTTCCACCGAGTCTGACACTGACCGGCAGAAGGAACGACCCGACACATCTGCATTGCACGTTTCTGGCTTGCTTACGCGACTTGCGGATCACAGCCGTGGCGACCCTGGCCGACCGACGACGCCCACGATACGGCACGCCTGCATGCCCGCCCCACACATCCGCACACGCAATGAGTGCCACAGTGCATATACATCCGCCACCCAGCCAGCCACCTTGCTTCTGGGCCTGTTTCCACAGCTCAACCTCCATCTGCTTGTCCCGCATCTCCCGCAGCCCCGCCTTAGTGAAGGTCGTACTCTTCATCTTCTTGGACCTTCTCCCGTCCCAGTGGTGGCACTCGTCCCGGATGCGCACATCGGACACCGGCCAACCCCACCCCCCATCATCTCCTTGTGTGACGATGAGGGTGATGCCAGCCGGCACGCACACCATCACCTGCTGAGGGCCCGTCTGCTCAAACGTTGCCTCGCTCGCGCGCGTCCACCCCAGCCTCGAACCCATCCGGGCGATGAACGATTGGCGGCAGTCGGCCTCCGTGGTGTTGAGAGGGCGGTGTTTCTGGCTGTTGGGCGAGCGGAAGGCTCCGGCCTCAACGGCCTCCACTATGGATAACTCGCCTGCATCAACCCATCCACAAGGACCACCATTCATCCCCGGAATGAGCAGATGCATCCCTTCGATACATTTCGTTTCGTGCTGCTGCTCGGTGGACTCCGACATGTGGCTGGCGCCATCGTTGCATGAGTCCTCGTCCCACTGGTCATCGTCAACGTGATGCGGCGACCTGTGCGGGCCGAGTGACACGATGCGGCGGCTCATTTGGACGTAACCAGGCTGACTTCTCTTCTGCACGGCCTCTAGAAGCTGCCGGTGCTGTGCAGAGCATGCATTCTGCCTTCGCCGCGTCTGCCTCCTCCGATCGCGCTCTGAGCTCGCAGCTCCCGCGAAAAGAAAAAAGGGGACAAACAAACAAAAAGGCCGCATACAACGGTAATGAATCACATCTGACCGCATCCTGCAGACGACCACCCTCCCCCAAATTGCTTTCCGTAGGAGAGGGTCGAGATAATATGTGGCAATATGCCATGGCATGTGGCAGCGATGCTTCTGCGGCCAGTGATGAAGCGATAGCTGCCGTCTTTAAGGTGAGGCATGCGAAGATATGTGAACGTTGGTCATCGTTCATTCGTCTCTTTTGTGCGTCTCTCGGCTGACGGATGAATTCGCTGAATGACAGGCCATTCGCCTCCAATTCTGGTCCGGCATTGCTTTGGTAGGCATCCATCGACAAACAAAGGGCTCAGCACCAGAAACTGTCCGCTGCCCTTCCTTGCACTGTGCAGCCTCGGGAGCTTCATCTTGGCGTGTATGCGTTTGTCACTCCCGTGTGGTGTCTGAAGCCACCACTGCCCTCCCCACTCAGTGGGGCCGTGCTCGAGCACTACACCGAGCTCGTCATCGACTCCTCCAACACACGGGAGAGAATCTTCTGGTCTGCCATGACCCCGCAGACGGCATACGAGCTGGGCAAACAGATGATTAACCTTAAGTGTCTCATCCACCGCTGCCCGCAGACACCTGATGGGGCAGAAGGGGTTTCGGCTGGCCGCCGTTTTGTCGCAAATGGATGGTGCCGTGGGCTCGTCATTGCACTGGTGGAGGGCCATGTGGCGGGACGGCAGGCGGCGCGCGAGAAGGAGAGGCCGGCGACCACGATGGCCGAGGGATCGCTCAGGCTACTGACCTTCGAAGCCGTGGTGCTTCCAGACAGCGGACGGCCGGAGATCAATCAATTGGCCACCATCAATCCTACCCCTCCTGCTGCCGCCCCATCGCAATCCATCAGCCTCCTAGCCCTCACAGATGTCAAAGGGGTCAGAAGTGTCCACTGCGTGATCGAGGGGCGGGGATGGTCCATGCCGGCTGTCGAGCGTGTTCTTTCAATATCCGCCGGCTTAGCGCACATCAAGCCCTTCATCGCCACGACGCAGTCCCTTGCACATCTAGAGCTGCCTGCGATTACGGAAGTGATACCATCGCAGCGGCTGAGTTGCTGGAGTCCACTCCTGTGCGACAGCAGGGAATTCCGGGCCCTCTCGCAAACCTTCGGAGGATTCCTACCATCAAGCTCTACGAGATCGAATCGACCGACATCAAAGACGGCCTCCGGGACTTGCAGGTCACACAGAAAGGGAAAGAGCACGGAAATAAGCGGGGCGGAGGCTATGTCGTCGACATGCTTCTGCCTCGATTGCGATCTGCTTTCAGAAGTGTTTGCTGGATCGCGGCTGCTCAAAGTCCATCAGCTACTTGCACCTAAAGATGCGTCGCAGCGATTGCCATTGGCTCCTCCTCAACAACTACGCGACGTTCAAGGCCCTCGCCTCACTCATCGACGCGACCTGCTCACCATCGGGCGCGGTCAACTGTTATGTTTGCCCCTCTGGTGGAGAGATCCGAGACATCCCACTCACCCATCTGCTGGGGTACACCCGCTTCGGCAAAGTGCCTGGCTGTGGTCCCCAGCTCCTCAGTGCTTTGCTAACTTGCTACAACGTGAGGATGAAGCCTCAACAGAGGCCTCCCGGCTCTCCTTCTGTTGAGAGCTGCATCCAGGGGACACCACCTTCGGCATACCACTATGCCTGGACCGTCACCCAAGACCAAGTGGCCAGGCCATACAACGGGCCTATCGACAAGAGCTTGGTGGACAATCTTATGCTCGAAGATTGTGGCGGTCCGGCTGGGGGAATCAGCATGTCCATCGAATGCGAGCAGGGCTGGACCCCGCCGGCCGACGCCATTCCACCTGAGCCTCCCGAGTTCAAAGCGTTCAAGGCCGACGGCCTTGTTCGAGTGAAGAGTCTGACCGTCAAGAGCCGCATCGGGCTGGGAGTCGCCAAACTGCTGTTGAGAAGGGGGCCGAATCTTCAGAGCCTGCAGCTGATGGACATGGCCGTTACAGACGTGTTGGACATTCTGAGGTCTATTCGTCCTTGGAAAATGCCCGAAAGGCTCACACTCGAGCGGCTGAGTCAAGAGGGGGATAGCTGGCGGGGGGAGATTTCACTGGGTATCCAGCAGAGGATGCAGAAAGTCAAGATGCTGCTCGGGGGAGAGGTTGCTGCACTGCTTGCGGCAGCCACACGTCTCCACATGTCAGCCATCTGTGACTTCACCATCTGCGGCAGCGAAAGAGAGGCGCGCCAGGCTCTCGTCAACGGAGGTGGTGGGACGATCGGCTGGCTGCATCTGGGCTATGTGTCTGAGACTAGCCGTGAGATAATCAAGGCCGAGGATGAGAGGGAGGGCATCACACTGGGCGATCACAAGGACCAAATGCCCCACATCAAGAAGCTTGACATGTACTTAGACGGTAAGTACCGAAGGAGTGAAGAGTATGTCCACTCGCTGATCAGATTACGGCTCTCTGTCTCCGTGTTTCCCTTGTCTCAGTGCCGTCTGCCGATGTGGTCGATCCAGGCGTCTTCATTCTGTCGAGCATCTGGTCGCTTCTCGAGATTGAGTCCATTTCCCAGCTGACAGTCGCCCTGCCCCAACACTCCCATCTGGATGCCCTCAACAAAGCAATTGAGAGACGCTTCAGAGGCCGCACCGAGATAGAGGGGAAATTTATATATGTGTATTCAGTGGACGGAATACTGCATCTGTTCATGACGAGCCAACACATCGCAGCAGTAAGGGAAAGGCCGCAATGATGTTCGTTGTGGTGCTCATTTAGAAAGTGCTATCTTCTTTCCTTCATTGTGTCTCTGCTGATCAGTTGCGCATGGCGGCCTTTGTCCACTCGTCGGCCGCCGACGTTCTTGAGGTACTTCTGTCAGCAGGAGCCCCCCACCGGAGGCTTGCAATGATCACCAGTCTGAGGGACACCGTGAATCGCCTGTCGTCAATGCTCAAACAGTATCTTCCCTCACACGATGCCAACATCGCAGCCGATGCGCTCGCCATCGACTTCGCCGGCCGCATCCGTGCCGCTGCACCCATGACTGTGGTCGACCCGCCGTATGCGCCTCGGCGGCTGAAGGCACCACTCATGGCGGTGATTCAGAGACACGGCCTGGTGATGGAGCCCATGAAGCGGCTGCATGGCGATGGGCCGTGCATCCCCAGCCCCTCTGTGACCGCATCCGCCGCTCAGCTGATGGCTGTGCTGCAGACGACAGGCATACAGATCACAGGCATTGAGCTGCTCCACAAGTAAGAGACCCCAAATAAACCGTCAATAGCTTCAGCCTATGATGCTCTTCTCTTGTTCTCGTCTCCTTGGCGTGCTTGATTGACTGCAGAGCCACTGTGCACGGGTTTGCGTACACCGACATGCTCGATCGTGTGGGTGATGCCAGCTGCCTGCTGTTCCTCGTGCGGGCCAATAGAAATCTTAGTGGCTGCTTCATCGACGCCAGCGTCCTGCCGCCCCCTCAGCTACCAACTGCGCGCGTCTCCAACGACTATGAGGTGGCTGCCCTCGTTTTCAAGACAGCTGGCCTCTCCCTGCCCACCTTCCAGTCACCCTTAACGACGCCGCAGTGTGTCTCTGTGCTGCGAAGGGACATCGAGCCCAATGGCGTGGACCAAGTCGCGAAGCTGATCGTGGGCCTCAAGGGGCGGGGGCTGAGACTGTGGGCACTCGACCCGGCAGCGTCAGCGGCAGGACAATGCCGGGTGGAAGTCATAGCTGAGGAAGGGAGGGTGAAATCCATGGTCGCCGATGAGATAGAAGTGCTGCTAGTGTTGCAGGCGGGATTGTGAGCGGGGCGGCCGGGTGAAGTGATGTGATGTGGTAGTGCAATTGGATCCTCTTTTGTCAGATGCATTATTCATTTCAAGAAGGCCGTGGCCTGGTGCATGGCGACTTTTTCGAAACTGCTGCTTTTTCGGGCTTGCGCGTCAATGTCGTAGTTCGCCCTTCAACAAATGGATACACTACCATATCTTTCTCACATGGGCCGTGGCTGCGGTGGTTGTAAGATTGATGTGTGGAGACATTCACGTGAGCATTGAAACGTTGAATCCCTTATCGCTTCAGAACGTTTCCGAGGAGCTCCAGACGCAGGTGAATGGTGGCCTGCAGTCTCCTCCCCTATCGCTTCTCTTACATACCGATGGCCTCGGGACTCTTGGAAGAAGTGCGTGGCTGTGTGTTTGTGTCTGTGCTCTTGCGTGTGTGTCAGATTGATGCACACCCACACGGCTGTCTTTTTTTCTGTCTGCATTCCTCCCATCCAAGTCGGAAATTGCCGACCGATACCCTCAGCTTCAATGCATGGCATGAGTGGATGGAATGTCCTCTGTCTGTCCGTCTCGCTGTCTGTCTGTCTGTCTGTCTGTCTGTCTGTCCATCGGTTGTCAGTCAGTCAGTCAGTCCAGCCACTTCGCGTCTCTCACTCAGTCATCCACCCACTGCTACTTGGAGAGCGTTTCTTTAATGCATTTGACTGGTATGATAATGCAATGTGACGCCCCAACACAATTGCCCAACACGCCATGTTTGACAACACATCATATCACATCACATCACATCACGTGCACGACCCGATGACCGTCTCATTCATGAGACCACCAAGCGCAGCACCTCAATCTCATCGGCAGGAATCGATCTCACCGCCCCTTCCCATCTCACCCGGACCATACATCCCACACCTGCCGCCAACACCGATGGGCTAGGCGCCCACAGCCCCAAAAACCCCTCCCATTTCTCCACATGGCACTGACCGAGCACGACTTTCGCTCTCAGGGGCGAGGTCGCATCGGCTTTCAAGACGGTAACACACTGTGACGTTACTGAGGGTGACTGGAAGGTGGGCTGCGAAGCGCCGGACGCCTTGAAGATCAGGACATCCGCAGCATACTGCTTGAGGTGATCAAGTGGGGGCGGAAGTAGGCTGGCGTCGATGAAGAAGCCGTGCGCGTCTCCATTGGCACGGACGAGGAAGAGCAGGCAGCTCGCATCACCAACACAATCGTGCATGTCCGTATACGCAAACCCGTGCACAGAGGCCCTGTGGTGAAGTACAAAGGAGAGGAGAACAAGACGAGTATAACATAACCCAGGTGGACGAGGATTTGTTGAGTGTCTCACTCATAGAGCGGTTCGATGTCTGCGATTTGCTTGCCCGTCTTTTGCAGCACGGCCATAAGCTGACTGGCGGATGCGATCACAGAGGGGCTGGGGAGGCACGGCCCATCACCATGCAGCCGCATGATGGGCTCCATCGCCAGGCCGTGTCTCTCCATTGCCGCCATGAGTGGCGCCTTCAGACGTTGAGGCGCATATGGGGGGTCGATCACAGTCATTGGTAGAGCGGCACGCACGCGGCCGGCAAAGTCGATGGCGAGCGCCTCGGCTGATACATAGAGCGGATGGGAAGGCAAGTAGCGCTCAAACATCGAAGCGAGTCCCTGGTGCGCTAGTCTTGGACGCACTGAGTGTGCAAAGGCAGCCTTGCGCAACTGATCAACGGAGACACAATAAAGGAAAGCAGATAGTGCCTTCTACATGAGCACCACCACCAACATCATTGCGGCCTTTCCATTACCGCTGGGATGCCAATTTTGAGACAGAGCATTTCCTCCACTGAATAGACATTCCCTTCTATCTCAGAGAAACGTCGCTCAATGGCTTTGTTGAGGGCATCGAGATGGGATCGATGAGGCAGGACGAGCCTCAGCACGGAGATCGACTCAATCTCGAGAACCGACCAGATGCTCGACAGAATGAAAACGCCTGGGTCGACCACATCGGCAGACGGCACTGAGACCAGCGAGATACGGCACACAGGTACGTCAAGTGGCGCATTGTTCTTCTCGACAGCTTTGCCAATTACCGTCGAGGTGCATGACTAGGGTGTTGATGTGTGGCAGTTCGTCCTTCCAATCGCCCAGTGTGAGGCCATCCCTCTCGTCCTCAGCCTTGATCAAGTCCTGGCGGCCGTCAGATGCCCCACCCAGACTCAGCCGGGGGATCGTCGCACCACTTCCATTGACGAGAGCCTGGCGCGCCTCTGTCTCGTTGGCGCATATGGTGAACTCACGGATGGCTGACATGTGAGGCATTGTGGCTGCCGCAAAGCATGCAGCAACCTCTCCCTTGACGCACAGCGTCTTGACCTTTTGGAACCTCTGCTGGATACCCAGTGAAATCTCCGTCTGCCACCCACCCTCTTGATGCAGCCGCTCGAGTGCCAGTTTCTCTGGCGTCTTCCACACAAAGGCGCACCTCAGGAGGCTCAGTACATCCGATGGAGCCATATCCATCAGCTGCATATCCTCGAGTTCCGGGCCTCTCCTCAGCAGCATCTTTGCCACCCCCAAGCCGATGCGGCTCTTGACGGTCAGACTTTTCACTCGCACAAGGCCGTCGGCCTTGAACGCTTTGAACTCGGGAGGCTCGGGCGGAATGGCGTCGGCCAGCGGGGTCCACCCCTGCTCGCATTCGATGGACATGCTAAATCCGCTACTACTCGGAACGCCACAAGCTCCAAGCGACAGGTTGCCCACCAAGCTCTTGTCGATAGGCCCGTTGTATGGCCTGGTCACTTGGTCTTGGGTGACGGTCCAGGCATAGTGGTATGCCGAAGGTGGTGTCCCCTGAATGCAGCTCTCAACAGAAGGAGAGCCGGGAGGCCTCCGTTGAGGCTTCATCCTCACGTTATAGCAAGTTAGCAAAGCACTGAGGAGCTGGGGACCACAGTCAGGCAGTTTGCCGAAGCGGGTGTACGCCAGCAAATGGGTGAGTGGGATGTCTCGGATCTCTCCACCAGAGGGGCAAACATAACACTTGACCTCGCTCAACGGGGAGCAGGTCGCGTCGATGAGCGAGGCGAGGGCCTTGAACGTCGCGTAGTCGTTAAGGAGGAGCCAATGGCAGTCGCTGCGATGCACCTCTATGCGCAGGAAGCGGAGAGACTTCAAGCAGCCGCGATCCACCAAACACTTCTGAATGCAGAGCACAACAAAGGCATGAATGCCATTTCCTCTTCTCCGGGTTCTCCTGTCCTACGCCCCTTGCTTCTTATTCGCTTGCCTGAAGCCGCGAGAGGCCGTCTCGGCAGATGGCGATCGATTCGATCTCGTAGAGTTTGATGTAGTTCATGTTCTGAAACCTCGCGAGAGGCCCCGGACCACCCTGCTGCCCCACTGGGATGAGTTCCAGCAGCTCGGCCAGCTGCGATGGCGGCACTAGAACCACAAACAGATCGATAAGGGACCTCGTCGTGGCGACGAACGGCCTGATGTCCGGGAGCTCGGCCCCCGGATACCGTACGATCACCCGCTCGACAGCCGGCATGGACCATCCCCGCCCTTCGATCACGACGTGGCCACGTCTGACCCCTTTGACATCTGTGAGGGCTGGGAGGCTGATGGATTGCGATGGGGCGGCAGCAGGAGGGTTAGAATTGATGTCGGCCAGTTGAGCGATCTCCCGCGGTCCGCTGCCTGGAAGCACCACTGCTTTGAAGGTCAGTGACCTGAGCGATCCCACGGCCATCGTTGTCCCCGGCCTCTCCTTCTCGCGCGCTGCCTGCCGTCCCGCCACATGGCCCTCCACCAGTGCAATGACGAGCCCACGGCACCATCCATTTGCGACATAATGGTGGCCAGCCGCAATCCCTTCTGCCCCATCAGGTGTCTGGGGGAAGCGGTGGATGAGACACTTAAGGTTGATCATCTGTTTGCCCAGCTCGTATGCCGTCTGCGGGGTCATGGAACCCCAAAATCTCCGTTGTCGTGTGTTGCTGGAGTCGATGACGAGCTCGGTGTGGTGCTGGAGGACGGCCCCACTGAGTGGGGAGGGCAGCGGTGGCTTGAGACACCACACGGGAGTGACAAACGCATAGACGCCGACGTGAAGCTCTCGAGGCTGCAGACATAATCATCAGAGACGAAAGGAACACTGCTACGCTTGGTGAGACCTTTTTTTGTCGATGGATGCCTACTAAAGCAATGCCGCCCCAATGCTGGAGGCGAATGGCCTGTCATTCAACAAAATCCATATGCCGCCAAAGAGTAGTGCAGAAGTCATGCGCCGTGAGGCTTTCCGTGTATTCCACTGTTACTCGAAAGACGGCAGCCGTCGATGACGGAGAGGCTTCATCGTGTTGATTCCGAACCGGAATCCTTTGCTTGTCTTTTGGCAAGAGGAAGCCACGCTTCATCGATCTGCACTCATGAGAAAGCACTGGGCCCTGCTACGGTCACCTGAACTGGCTGTCGGCTTCTCCCCTCCTTGGCGGGCTGGGGCCCCAAGCTCGCGGGGAAACGGAACTCGTCGTTTGATGTATTTCACTCCACATTCATAGAGGGAGAGAGTCACCGACATGGACGCACGCACACGTGCAGTCAAACATACTCAGTGCATGCAGGGCACGATGGATAGTCGAGTCGATCGACCACACCACACCACAGAGGGGGAGGGAATCCTCTCCTCTCGTCAGCCAGATGCACGCTTTCTTTCACTCATATTCACACCAGGAAGAGAGAGAGAGTGGGGTCACAGGACGCCATACATCCAGGCATCGCATCCAGGCATCCACAGGACACCCTCTTCCTCTGCACACGATCCAGTAGACACCATCACTCTCACGCACGAGCGCACAGACTGACACCACCACCACCAATCACACCAAAATCTCCTCCCAAACGAGCCCCCTCACACACACACGTGTGTCCGCCCACACAAAGTCCGTCCACCATCGCCCGTCAACAATTCTACAGCTGGCTCCCTGCGGGTGCTCGCCCCACTCCCGCCCCTCCCCCCGTGTGTCTGTGTGTGTGGTCTAGCGTATCTATGACTGGTTTCTGTAGCTGTCGGCCTGCTCCTTGACCTTTCTGTTGTACTCCTCCTTGTTCTGCTGGTACAGCATGTATGGCTCTCCCTGGGCGGGCGACTGCGGGTTGGGGTTGTCCAGCAAATCCTGGATACCTGCACCAAACAAAGAAAGGCACACAGGACAGCACAGACACGCACAGACACGTGAGAGGGAGCGAGAAAGAGTAAAAGGGCAGTTGAGGCGAGGCTGAGGTGGGGGAGAGAACGAGGGAGAGGGAGCTGTGCATGGGCCCGAAGTGCATGGGTGAGTCGTGTGGATGATGCGCCCTCAGTCCCTCCCTCCCTCTCTGTCTGCCTGTCTGTCTGCCTGGCGTGACGTGGCGTTACCTGTGCGCAGGAATGTGTTATATATTGACTCACCGAGTAGCACCTGCTTGATGGTGATGGACGGCTTCCAGTCCTCGTCCTCATTCAAAATCGACAAACACACCGTTCCGGACGGATACACGCTGCACACACACACCACCACAGCAACCGGACACATGCCATGTGATGCGCGTGCGTCTTATCGTGCCTCTCTGTGCCTCCCTCCCTCCCTCCCTCCTCCTCTCTCTGTGTGCTGTGTGAGGCGGTGCGGTCTCTTGGTGGCTTGCTTGGGGTGGAAGAATCCCTGCGGAAACTTGCACTTGGGCGGTTTGCCGGGGTACTCGTCGGTGAACTCCATGGTGAGGGGGTACGTGGCGTCGCCCCACAGCGTGTCCTTCTTGCCGGGGATGCGGCACTCCCACTTGAGGCAGTCCTGCTGGCCCTTGTTCTCGCCCTCCTCGGCACGCGCAAACTTGGCCACGAAGCCATGCGGGTGGTCCTTACGCCACTCGGCACGCTCCTGCGTCAGCCTCTTACGAGCTACAGACATCCTTCACGCCAACACTCTAAACCTTTGCCGACAGAGGAGAGGCACCTGGTCTGGTCGTCCCCCTTCCTTCAAACGCACTCACTTCACGCCTTTCTCGCGACAATCTCGCCGGCAAGCACCAGCGGTTTCAGGGAGCACCCTAGGTGGCCTGACGGCCAAGTCCCCTGTCGGTCTGTCCAACATGAAAACACGCACCCTAACATGCAACCCGGACACGATACACGCAGCACGCAGAGGGCAGATGCTGCAAACAGGAGGATATGCAATGCGCTGCGAACGACGGCCACATACAAGAAGGCACACAACGTCGCACACACGCCACCCCAGCAGCAGCTTGAAGGCGGCGTGCGTGCGTGCGTCCTGCACCATGACTCCATACGTAGATACCGCCCATCCCCAGGTGGCCAGCCAGTGCAGATCGCCCAGTCACACAGACTGGGAGCAGCAGGGGATTTGGCGCCTCTGTGAGCAATGATGAAGAAGAAGGCAGCTGAGTGGGCAGCCCCGCACTATGGAACTTGAAAGCTGCGGAAGAAGACGTCATCGGCGCAGCGTCATCGCATGAGGTGCGCACAGACCAAGAGCAGCTGCGTGTGGACTCCCGTTTGTATGGCAGGGTGCATACGACGACCACAGGGAACATCTCAAGTCGGTGACTCATCTTTTGGACGCCCGCCACACGCACTCCAAGTCCACACGTGCATGCGCAGGTGTGCGCACAGAGACATTCATGATGTACACGCACTCCAAGTCCACACGTGCATGCGCAGGTATGCGCAGGTATGGGTATTGTTCGTACAAAGACATTAATCATATGCACGCAGAGCTGCGCGCACACGGATATTCATCATATACACGCACTCCAAGTCCACACGTGTATACGCAGGTGGTGCGCATACAGACATTCATGATATACACGCACTCCAAGTCCAAACGTGCATGCACAGGTATTCGCAGGTATGCGCACATAGACATCCATGATATACACGCACTCCAATGCAACTGGGCCTGACGTTTTTGCTGTGGCTCGCCCAGTGGGCAAGAAGCGTCCGATCAGGGTTTGCTACTA